CTATACTCAGAACTTTCCAAACCTTCTGTTCCAGAGAAGCGATCACAGTTACCAAAAACTGACCCAAGTACATTCAGCTTGATTCTTCTAATTGCTTTAACAATAAAACAAAATGATCAGAATTATAAAGCATGAAGGAAGATTAACAGAACAGCTACAAGTGGAGTGTTAAAATACTCAACTCTAGAAAGAACACTCATTATCTTTTAAACATTTTCTATGGGATATATGCAAGATTAGCAATAACTGCAGACCATATTTGCAGTTTACCAACAATTATGTACCCTGCTTCTCTAACAAATAACATCCTTCCAGTGGACCTTAACTGAACCAAAATGGAGTTTAACAACAGCATTTTTCTTAGTAGAGCAGCCTGACTTGCTCTCTTAGAAGTGCATTTACTGAACATTCAGAGTACTGATCAATAACCAAACTCAGTATGGCATTTCACATTACAAGAAAGCATTCTCAATTGATTTGAAGAAAAAATTATATATATAACTTCCTGAGAGACAAAGAAAATGAAAGCAGAACACCTTGAAGAGACTGGTCCTCATACCATGGATGTAGTTACATTTAGTAACACAACAGCCATCAAGGACTGACAGCTTTCCTTGACAGAAAGAGCCAGTCAGTGTTAACATTCCTCATGAACATACAAAAGATCAGGGTACCTGAGAAATTAGCCTTCTGTTGCCATTTGGAAGGCATCATCAGAAAGTTAAATCACTTTACCACTTCCAACAGAACTGCTTTCATTGTTGAGATTTAAGATCTCTCACAGAAGTGAAAAGGTCTTTAGCCTGGGAGCAGGAAGAGCATAACTGCTACACAAAAAGCATGCTATGAGAGTTTTAATATTTAAAACCTCAAACGATCAAGAACATATTTGGTCAGCTCTCACTCTCTCTTGCTGATGTAGCAGGCAGAAATCTGATAAGTTACAAATAGTCACTCCCAGGCCCCTGAACCAGCTCTAGAGAACACTGGCTGGATTCTTCACTGCAGAATAGAGAGGACTGTACCTTAACATTAAGCAAGAACTGAAGTTGTGGGACACAGACATTGTGGTTCACAAGTTACCAAAATGTCACCACACAGAACAGCCCAAAATCTTGGTTTCAAAGCGACAAAACAGCCAGTGCCTTTCCAAGCAAGGTCCACAGCTCCTCTCATTTCCTGCACACAATAGCATTATTCAGCCACTGAAGTTTCCACTTAGCTTGCATTTATGCCAAGTACTTTTAATTGCAAAGGAAAAGGATGTTAAGCTCTCCCATTTGTTTCTTTCTAATTCACAAGGGACACAGTAGTGGTTGGTAAAAGTTATGTTAAGGCTGTTCTCCCCCGTGTCTCTCAAGGGAGGCTTGCATCATCCTCCTGCTGCCAGGTAAATAGAGGTTACCTCTACCACAAGGGTAGGAAAATTCATTTTGTCATTTGGGAAGTACTAAGAAAGCAAGTAATTGTAAACTTTCAAGCATGGTTACATCTCAAAGCTACAAAACATCAATTTTAAGAGATGTTCAGCATTACCCTGAACCACGTTTGTGTCTCATTTAAGAATGGATATCCTAGCCCACACCTGATACACAGAACAATTCAGAGAACACCCAAGTGAAAAAACTCATCTGAACAGATACAGAGCTGCAGCCTTGACTGAAACCAAATAACACACAGCAAGACGTGATCTAACTGAAAAAAAAATAAAAAAGATGCTTAATTTCTGCTTATTCCTGGCAACCAACCTTGTTCTAATGAGGGGAAAAAACCTGCTGAACACTGCTTAGTAAATAATGCATGAACCATATCCACATCTACGGACCATTAGGGTGACACAAAGATAACTTTCAATTGTGCTGCACTCTTTTGATCAATCCACAGAAGGGTCTAAAGTATCGTTCTCCAACAGGTTTTGCACATATTATCTGGTGAACTACACTGTCTGAGACAAAGGGATTTGTGAATTGAAGCGGTGCTTTAGGCTTGGTAGTCTTTTGAAGTGTCCACACCCCACTTCTCCAGCCTTGGGAAGGAAGGGTTATTAGCTAATTACTATGCAAATCAGCTGTGATGCAAATTAAATGCTAACATAGCTTAACAGCCCCAGGAGTAAAAGTTTAGTTAACTTGAATGAACTTTAATTTTATGAAAAAATATAATTTATTAACAAGCACGTACAATAAGTTGCACCACTAACTTTAAATAAAACATCTACCAAGCTGACCTTCACACTGACTGACACTTGGTGAATACAGAGCAAAAAGGCAATACACATTCAACAAACACAGAATAAACTCAGTTGCAATCCAAAAAATGGACATACAGTATAAACAGTGAAGGCTTCACCTGAACCTTGCCATCTCATTCCAGCAGACTTTCAGTCTGTTACAAAATTGGTTGGTAATACAAAAATAATAAAAGCTCTGGATTCAATTTACTCTTCCATCGCAAGTTAATTGCAACATTTTGCAACAATGTAAGATTAGGAGAGAGGTAAAAGGCAAAGATAATCACACCTTGGAATTACAGCATTTCAGCTGCAGTCAGGTTGCCTAGCAGAGGCACGGCCTTCAATGACAGCGTCCCAGTTTTGCAAGAAATACAAAGATGGTAAAAGATTCTTCTCTCTCATGAATTAGAACTTGATCCAACCTCCACTGACATCAAGGCGAAAGTTCTTCTGTTATCAGTAGTACTCCAATGAGGCCACAATGGCCTTCAAAGTCACTCTCTCTAGTGAAAGGTTTGGCACCCTCCAGTCTTCAGCTTGGCTGTGCAGTCAGTAAAACCTGACATGCTGTTACCACACAGGTACTACAAGGCTCGTCCTCCTTCATAACAGAAAAAGGAATTCAGTAGAATTCGATTTGTAACAATTGAAGTCAATTTGGCAAAAGCAAGCAGCTCCAGTCTGCTCAGCCCAAGATCACCACAATGAAATAAACAGAAAGTCTGTGATGGATTTCAGTAAGAACTCATGAGAAGCATCAGGCCGAAATAGAAAAATGCTCACTTGCTGATTTAACAGCTTGCTCTTCACTCAGGAAAGGACACTCAGGATATCGCTGATCCCCTCAAAGCAGCAGTAGCAGGAATGCTTCAAAATGTAACAGTGGCCAGTGTAAAACTGCTCAAGAAGTATTTTTCAACAAAGCCAGAGACTCCTTCTCTCTCTTTGCGGTAGATCAAGAAGTTACATCTTTAAGCACAATCCTGCAGGGCCTCAACTTCATTAACACGGCTTGATATAATGAACAAAACTTAAACACATGCTCTTTTGTCACGACAGGAGTTAAATGTCCCTCAAAAATTTTATAGCAATAAATTTGAAACTCAGTATTATCTTTCTTTCCTCTCTTGCACCTCACTTTTTATTTTATCTAGAGAAAATCAGAAGTTTCTCCTGCTCCCACCATAAAACAAGACGTAAGATCTATTTTTATGACAAAAAAGACTTCTATAAAAGGGTCTTTTTTTTAACTGCTGGAACCAGATTTTCTGCAGTGTAAGGAGAAACCGATCTCAATGTGAGCTGACCTGACCAACAAGAGCAATCAAAATTACCAAGAAATAAACGCCTTAAAGAGAAGCCACAAAGTATTTGAGCTCATTCTGTAAATCTAGCGATGCAGTTCAACCAGCAGCAAGCTCCCAGAGCACTGCTGGGAGAGCACAGCTCTCTTGTTAACTGGCTATGAAGTACTCTTACAGCAGAAGTACTTCAGAAAAATTTGGACTAGTGAGAATGGAGTTATTTTAATCTAGAACAATATCACCCAAAGATACAGATGAATACAAACATTGTTTGTATCAAAAACATCAAAGAAACTTGAAATTAAGCTGCATCTTCAGTCTATATACTGGCCTTCCTCTTCCTTTTTTTCATAAAAATAGAATATGACATTTCAGCTTCAATTGCATGTTTAAGTCATTTATTCATTGAACATTCCATTCTCGAAATATCATCTATTAAAATGTTAGTTAAGATTCATTCTGCTTATAGAACAGACTGGAATTTCTTCTGCTGAACTGCACTTGCAGACAATAATAGACTGATATGAATTTAACAATGATTATGGGAAGAAAAAAATGAAAATCAAGCTCTTCTCTTACCATCTGACTCCTAATCAAACAAACATTGGTGTCCCTCACTTGATCAAAAGATTTAATTCCAAAATAAAATTTATTTTACAATTGAGTTCAGAAATACTTGGTTTTAAAGCCCATGAGTTTCTACATAAAGAGAACAAATTTCCAACAAAACAACTCCTTCAAATATTACAAAGAATGAGACAGTAAAAATAATAACAATTCCCAATTATACAATTGTACCAAAAACTTGTCTTTGTACCACTACTGTAGTTGTCCAACCATTAAACATACTGGCTTCTGTACTACATCTGCACCCTTCTGATATAGGTAGATACTGTTCATGGGTACTTTACATTTCAAATGTGCAGTTCTGAAGAAAAACAGCTGAAGATTAATTTTGTAAACTCCACTGGGTGGGAAGGCCTTCTGGGTATACCAGCATTGAAACAAAATTAGTCCAATGTCATAGTAAGAAATCCAGTAGTAAAAAAAAGTCTGTTTGGACATGGCTCTTTCCCCTACTGCAAAGAAAATGTATTAAACGGGATTTATTTTAGGTGGTTTCACAATTCTTAAAGAGTAGATGATACTTGCATTCCTGAAGGATTAAGTTCTACATTTCTTAATGCTAATTCAACCCTCTAAAAAAATCAACCCAATAAAACCAGCAACACTTTTTACAAGTAACAAGCACAACCTAAAAATTCCACCCTCAAAAACTGTCTTTTTGGTGCTCTCAAGATACTCTGTTTATAGAAGACATGCCAGGAAGCCTGCAATAGGAACAAATGCTTCTCTGGCACAAAGAAAACATTTCAGTGCCTCCCCCTTCCGAAGTATGCACACCTCATCACAATATATGCTAATACACCACCAAGTAAGTTTCTTTATCTTGCCATTTTTTATAACTTTTTCATCATATTTATTTCAGCATATGTCTGCTGTGCAGAGTGGAGCACTGCTGGATCAACAAAGAGTTTATAACTTTTTTAATAAATACATTAACAATTTACATATGTGAAAGCAAGTCAAAAAGGGATAACTATTTAAACTGCTTTGTTTATAAAGAAAATCTTAGTTTACACAGACATTTGGGGCCTTTTTTCCCCCCATTCTCTGTCCTTTGAAATTAATACGAACATAATACGCTAAAAATTTTATCACAGCTCTTTTGCTGTGTATGTAGGTATGCAGGTATGCCCACCTATGGACATAAACATACTTCCCTCCCTCCCCTTCCCCAGCCTCCCCCAAGGTTAACACACTTCACAGAGAAGCTCTCACAAATCAAATGCAGAACCTTGAGAAATGAAGACCAACTCTGTGCAGGTCTACTGTATGCAAGTGTCAAAATAGAGTAAACAGGGATAAATATTTACATTACTATTTTTTCCAAGTGAAATTTGTACTTAATGTCTTCTTCCTGAAGAATTCGGAACGCAGCAAAAGGGAAACTGTTTTTATTAAAAATAAAGCATAGAAGTGATGAAAATAAAGAAAATGTCACCAAACACACCAGAGCAACACCACTTGCTGTAGATATCAGTATAGGCCTTTGTTAATCAAACAGCACCTTCAGTCTCCAGACATATCCTAGGTACTCCAGTGGAATAAGTGTGGCTCACAGCAGTACCAGAAGCAAAGATCTGCTTTAAATACATGGATTTAAGTAGCACAGATGCCTGTTAAAAACTTAGTATAAAACTAGGATAACTCTGTGGGGTAAAATATTGAGATGAGAGAAAAAAAAATAAAACTAAATTCTATGTGAAAGTCACAGGGCTTCTTCAAAGGCATGTATAGTCTTAGATGTACACATCTGAATCCCACTGTAGAACGTAAGAGATGGGAGCAATAAACAAAAACTGGTTAGGGATATAGTTTTTAAATTATAGGTCAGCTGGACACTGTTAGAGGAATGAAAACTGCCCCAGAAGACACAGTGGATCCACATGAAGGCAGTCACATTTGAAAAACACTGCAAATCTAGGGACTTAGAACTCAAAAATTTGTCTGGTTTGTATGCTATCTTTGCTGAGAGAAGTTAATGCTCTTAAAAACTTGGTATTTACACTTCCAAAAAAGTTTCTGCACTTCATCCAAATTTGATAGGGCAGGATTTAAGTGCCTCTTAATGTTCCCGACTGGGCACTTCTGCTGCTTTGGCACACACACTGTATTCCAGTACCAACGGGATACGACGTCTAATGCAGCTTTAAACTGGCAGCACTCCTGAGTAGTTTAAAATGTTTATCAACTCAGTAGGTCAAAAGTCTGCAGACACTGGGTGGAGCAGCAGTATGCCACAAAACTAACAGTTGTCCTCCTAGGGGAAAAAAAAAAAGGGGGGGGAACAGTTGTCAGTAAAGATTAAGATTCTGGCCCCATTCCACAGCAGACAATATGTTGGTTTGTAAAGCACAGGATTAGTTGATCTCAACACTTTAGAAAAAGACTCACTTGATACATCTGAGTGCCTGATACAAAGGCAAGGAAACACTGCAGGGGTTCTCAAAAACCTTCCTGGTTTCTTATGTGCTCAGTTTAAAGAAACTGTGTGTGGTTTTTACTTCTGCAGAGGGTGTGGCTGCATGTTATAGCCAGTAGGTTTAACAGCTGAAAGGAAAATAGCTGGGTAATTCTTTGGTTCAGCTTTGCTCATGTGTTTCTTAAATTACTGCTTGCAGGCATGAAATGACTGAAGTCCAGTGTCCTTGGATCCAGCTGAGAGAACAAAGTGGGCCCAGACCTTCAGCAAGGATGATGGACAGGCAGTGCTGTCACAGTGTGGCAGCAGGGGTTGACATGAAAGGGTGACACCAGCCTCACTGTGACCCTCCTCCTGCCCCTCTCCTGGCAGGGGCCTAGATGTCCACTTGAATAATGCTAAGATCTGATTTTTACTAACCCAGAAATCACACTTCAGCCAGTGCTAAACGTCATCTGTACTTTTTTAGAGATAGAAATACAGTTCAACACTTAGCTATCCCTTCCTGTAAGAGGATACAGAACGCGACACAGAAATCCAGAGAGAAGATACTGGCATGGACGTGGCATGTGCTAATCAGTGCTGTTCAAATGTTCAGGATCCTTATCCTGTGTGTTTTCATGGTCACTGTAAGCTCTTTAGAACAAAAACCTGTCCTTCACATCTTACTAAACCAGCTATCACACTTCTACACTTCCACATAATCTTTCCATGTCATATACAAGCTACAGAGATGACAGCCTAGCCTGCTTAGATCTCATTTTCTGTGGCTTTGCTTCAAATGTCAGCTACTCAAAACTCTACTTATTAATGCCTTTCGTAGAACACAGTATGTTCATGTTTAAGGGAGAAAATGAGAACTGTCACAAGATAATTAACATTTTTTTTTTTTTAAAGTGAAAGCCATGCAGAAATATTTTCTAGTCATATTTTAGAATGTCAATACTGTTTTTCTAAAACAAACAAAGTATGTTTTTGCTGAGTCACAAATTTAGTACTCATAATCCCAAAACTCTCAGTGCCTACTAATATGCCTACTGCTTCATAAATAAGTTCTACAATGAGCAACTCTAGAGAATTCATTACAGAGCAGAGGTTTCTATTCTCTCATTATTGGGTTCTTTCAGGTAATAAAAGGAAGCAGTGACCAGCAAGTAGATTACTATCACTTTTGTAGAAAATGATACTGTTCTAATGGAGCTGAATGACAGAAAGAAATTACAGCATTATCATAACATCTTATGTCACCTTGAATACAAAGATGGTCACGTGCAAGAAATTTATTTAAATGCATATAAAATCCATTGAATTTCAACATTCTGTATCAGAATGACGAGTTGCAGGATGCAATCTCTAATCTGAGGATCTTTCTAAGAAAGATTGCTTTTCCAAAATATCATCTATACAGCCTTCTGGCTGCTGCTCAGATTTGGCATACCTAAACTGTTTTCTTTTTGTATACTTGAATCATTGACAAATCAGATATTTATTATGCCACAAACTCACGAGAAAAATAACCTGTGATATAGCTGTGAGAAATAGGCACCATTGACCTGAAACAACTTTTTTTAATATAATAAATTTCTATTGAAAAGCAGTTTCTTATTTTTATGGAACACAAGCAGCAAATCAGTGGATTTCAGCAGGACAAGTAGTTGTTGTCTAAGTAATGATTTGACATGAATTTCTAAAAGAATCTGAACAGCTTACTTGCTTATTTACCACTGAGTAACATTTCTTTATACCAAGTTAGTTTTCAAACAGTACCATAGTTTAGTTTGATTTACACAAGCTATGAATACAAGCAGCGTTCCTATTGTAGAGCTTTAAGATCCTGACAGAATTCTGCATTTTCTCCCATGGACCCAATATTTGTAGCCCTAGCCTGGTGTTTTGAGAGACAAGGAGATGTTGCAGCTTGGCATCTTTGCAGTCAGGATCAAGGAGGTGTGGTAAAGGTATCTTTACCATAAGCTTACATCTCACAATGCATTGTGTGAAACTTCAAGCACATACCACTTCTGTAGAGTATGACAATTCTTCTCTGCAATATCTTTCCCAAAAGAGCAGAGGGCACAGCTATTTGAGTAGGACAGAGGGAAAATCATGCACACGAGCAAAAAGCATGAGAAATGCTAAATTTGAGCTCGGTATTGATAAATTTAAGACTAAACTCAGAGTAGTGGAACACAGATTAGTAAACTCACCTCAAAAATCACTGCAAAACAACCACTTTAAAGGTATTATCATCTTAAAGGCACTTCAAACCTTTATCTACGTGAGGGCAGTACTCTGAATCACAGGGGTTGGTCTCTCCTATGACTACTACCCAGCAAGGCAGTAAGTGTGTGTGGGCTTGTCTACTTGACTTGCAAATCCTGCAAATACATTCACAACTGCTCTGATGATGAGCAAAGATACTTTTAACAAACATTTTAGAGCAAGCCATCCTTTTACAATGCAGCATGTTTCCAATGTGTATCTTAAAATAATTAGCACAGATTTTTTTTTTTTAAAGATTATTTTACTGTAGAATATTTACTTAAGTTCTGGCTTTAGAGCTTTCCCTGTTTTTAATCCTAGGATACTTTTACGTGGTGGTGGCATTCTTGAGTCAGGGCAGAGTTAAATACTGGTGTTAAGCCATATTTCCTTCCAAGGGCACAGAGATAATATGCACGTGTTGCATCACCACAAATAAATCAATCCCATCATATCTTCACTATCTAGAGGGAATCAAACAGGCAATTATTATTAAACAATCCAACAGTAGTATGCTGGTTTCCCTCTAAGAGAGTTGCCAACCATGTAATTGCTGGACAGGGGCTTTACATCTGAAAGGCTGCTAAACAAACAAAAAAAGATATTTTTCCATAAGATTTTTCTTTCTAAATGAATCTCCAGTGTAATTTCCTGTATAATTACCCTTGATGCAATCCTGCCATTGGAGTTTCCCTTAAGGGAAAGAGCTTTGGGTAGACAATGGTAAACATGGGCTGGCTACAGCGGTGACAGTGTCCCAAGGGACAGTGTAACAATTCCAAGAGGCTTTTTGGTAGTGAGATTGGAGTAAGAAAATTCAAATCTAAAAAAGAAAAAAGAAAAAAAAGACTTGTAAGAAAATACTGTATTATGAAGTCCAACATAAGAAGTACAATCCATGGACAGTTCAAAAACCATCTCTGTTGTTTTCTTAAGACTTGGTTGAAAGAACAGCAACATGAAGGAAGTGACACCAATTAAGGCAATGCATACGGTGCTTTCCATGTGCAAGTTCAAGAAGCTGAATGTGCAAGTTAAACATCCATAGGCATGAATTGGGTCCCAAAAATACAGTTGAAAAATACCATAGTTCAAGCAAGTAACAAAGCCTAGTAATATGCAATAAAGCACTGTGGACATGAAGACGGTCTAGACAGGTGTTTAGAAATTAACAACAATAGCAAGTTCTGAGAAGAACATCAGTACTACTTAACTAAAACGTCAGCAATGAACACAGCAGCAGGCTACAAGACCACAGTGTGACAAATAGTACATTTGCATCAGAAACAAAAAGTAACATAGCGTAGCCAAGGAAAGGCTACCGAAAAGTAGTCCACTCATTTCTGTCACACTTACCTAGCAGCAGTCACATATTTAGCTGCATCCCTGAAATCACTAAACAACTAAAAACCTCCAATCTCCCTTCCATATGTAGAAATTTAGAACAAAGACAATCCTATACTCATCAGTTAAATTGTTCTCTGGATCAGCTAATGCATTCTCCACAGAGCACAAACATTTCCTGTTTCCCTTTAGAATTCCCACATTAACTCTCCACCCTTCTGCCTTCTCCCAAGATGCCATTAACAGGGGAGACAGTACATCCAAATCTCAAAATCTGAATCTGCAGATATTCTGATATTGTAACTCACGTGACTGCATGATGCATAACCAGATCAGCCAAGGGCCCGTTTACAGCAGAGTCTGAACTGGGGCAGAACTAAAACAGCTCAGCTGTCACACTGTACTGAAATGGCCAACGGCTGCTAGTGTTTCTTTTGCCTTATGTATCACAAGCCTGCCAGTTTCAGAGTGTGCTGCCTGGCAAGAAGCTGCATTGTTGGCTGAGGCATCTAATCTTGCCTCAGGAACTGTATTTTTCATTCCCTATTTCCATTAAAGAGCTTCTCCAAAAAGCATCCTTCTTAATACAGTCCTCAAGAAACCGTTTCTAAGTGTCAGTCAACTTTTAGAAAGAGTCTTTGGATCCCTTTTTTTAGTATTTTTTTCTTGTAATACAGTATTTCAAAGAGAATTGGATTAAATAAATCTTTTAAAATATTCATCTTTGTCCTGCTCTTTGAGAAGCCATGTCAAGTGTTACTATCATTGCCAGAAATGCACTTCCACTCTTGTTGTAATCCTAGAATGGCTTGGGTTGGAAGAGACCATGAAGATCGTTTAGTTTCAACCCCACTGCTCTGGGCAGGGACACCACCAGGCTGCTGAAAGGCCCATCTAACCCCTCCTTGAACACCTCCAGTGATAGGGCATCCAAAATCTGAAGAGGACAAAGATTCTTACCTTTTAAATACACGTAGTAAGTGTTATAGAGGGTCCTCATAGCCAATTCTTGCAAAGGCAGCACATGATCTGTTTCTGTCCCTATAGATTTCACCTCTGCTGGCAGGAACACAGTTAATTGTCCTGATGAAAAAGAGAGCAGTTTCACCTCTGAAACTTGAATTGGAGAACCACAGCTAGAAAGACACAAGACATTTAAGAAGTGGTTAGGAAAAAATTAATGGGGAAACCCAAATTACCAACCCCCAAGCACACTTGATACTGTTCTTTAGTGCAGCACCATTCACGGACTCACTGCAGAATGCACTATGTATGGACACACATTCTCTTAAGATATCCAACCTTTGATGACATGTCACAAGACATCTGGAAGTCTGCATTTATCAAATAACTTCCAAAAGATAGAGAAATGAGTACACAATCCCAAGGGGGTGAGCCAAGTGCACTACCAAAGTAACAGACATTGCTCTTGTTTAGCCTACAAATGCTAAATATTACTAAAAACTTAAAATAAGGGAGCAATCTAATACTCAATAATTCATTTCCCTTATCTTGGATCAACCACTTGAGAATAATAGGACTCAACTACTGTTTATGAGGCATGCATGTGAGCTACAGCCACAAAGAAGTATGATTACTACTCAGTGATTATTTCCCATACCCTTCCCTATCCACAGAGTCCCTTTGAAAAACAAAAACCAAATAAAACCTCAGCTTGGACTGTAAGATCCTTTTTCAAACTGTAGTAAGTAAAAGGAAGGTTGCTGGGATTCAAGGAGAGAAATTCAGCCTGCATTAGAATAAGTTCTTTATGTGATCCCTGTTGCAAGTTATCATGCCAAAGAGATGGGCATAAGAAAATTCAACTAAGAAGTTAGGGAAATCAACAAGGGAACTTAAATTGTTTATGACAACTTAAATTTGAAGCCAAGAGCAACTCGTTAGGGCCAGTCCTAACAAATAGAACATGAACGCAAATCTGTCAGCTTTCCCAGATATTGGACCTAAACCTGAGGTAACTGCTTTCATCCTTATCAGATGTGAAAGAAATGTGGTAGAACTTCTCTGATAAGGAAGAATCTCATCCTCTCCGATTAAAGAAAAAATACCTCTGAGAAATAAGTAAGAGTAGCATCAAGACGCAAGTCAATAAGCCTCTTTTTTAATATTTAATACTTCCCCACAGACCTTTAACAAAGGTAAAATACAATCTAGAATTTAGAGGTCCAGTATTCCAACAATTCATTCTCCAACAATCGATATGCAAAGAATTAGCCATCAACACCAATCAATCCATAATGCCATATTGTCAAGCTTAATCCCATACCAACCTAGATAGAAGGCAAACCCCATAACCTCACTGCAGCTTCATTAGCTAAGAATTGGGCTATTTTGGTTCACTCTGCATAAAGGGTGAAAATATGTATGCCCACTGCAGCACCCAAAGCAAGCATGCAAAACAGAGTATCAAGAGGAATAATTTAAGGGATGCATCCTTACATTTGGACATCTTAGGGAAAGAATCAGAACCTGTGAGTAATACTGGGTGCAAGAAGAGAAATTTGAAAACCAACAAAAGCAGTTTAAAAAGCAAGGGAGAAGGGGGAGAGATGGTCTATCCAACTAGAATAAAAACTGGAGCTGCAGGAGAGCCCTGTAGAATAAACCACAGTGAAGAAAAAACTATGATCATTCATTGGCTACTTTGAACAAGAGTGATAGACACCTAGCTGGAAACTATGAAATCCTACCTGCAAAAACTACGATCAAACTTTGAGTATTGAGATCATTGCCTCTTACATAAAAGACTTTCTCCATCTGTCTGACTGCAGGATTCCCAGACAGAGATTCACTACTTAGACAATGCAATATATATCCTGTTTTCAGAAATCTAGCTTTATATTAGTAACAGCAGCATGGCAGATTTAGCCATCCTGTGGATGACTGAAGTACTAAAGCCTGGAACATCAAACATTTTTCCTGACCTCTTAAAAATTAGCATTGGTTACTCATGCTTTCTTAGAAGGAACGTAGAATGGTTTTGCAACATAAAGACAGGCATCTGACTGGTACATAAATGCACATACTTATTTGGGTATTGGAAATCAGTCGTGTGTTTTGGATGCTTTATTAAGCAGATTTTAATTATCATGTCTTATGGAAACTGAATAGTTACAAAAGATCAGCGCAAAGATTAAAAAAAATTTCCCTAAGTGTAAAATAAGGAGCAAAGACAGGATAGTTGGACCACACTTGCTTGAACATTTTCTGCATTATCATTAGTGTTTTGGTCACAGTCAATACAATTCTATTACCTGTTGGGCATTTAATGTCTTTCTTACAATTTATTATTAGTTCTGAAAAAGCGAAGGCTAGAAATAATTTTCCCTGGAAAACAAAGTCAGTTTGAGACTGCACAAATTTCATGCAACTGCAAGTATTTAAATATCACACAACCAGCTGACATGAATATTAGAAAAACCTTAAAATGCCAAGACTCAGCATCTCACATATTGCAATAGAGCACAGGCTGTAAAGGGGGAATTTATATTTAATATAAGATCTGCTGAGAGCAAGCATACCAGAAATTTATAATTAGATGGTAATGAGGACAATCCTCCTCTGATCAGTGTTATACCAGTAAGGCTCCATTCATTTCAGTGGTGCTGATCCTAATTTATGCTAGTGTCAGTGCAGAAAGAATTAAGCCACTGTCCTAGTCAGACCACTTTTTCCTCACATCCTAACCACAAACATGAGACAACCTAGGATATTTTTAAAATGCACACTTAAAAATACATCTGTCAATCCACAATTCCTCATAAAAAAAACCTACTTTAGTTAGTATGTACCAAGACTTAGGAGAAGCTGATACTGGGACACAAAAATGAGCAAAGCTGCATGTGGCATTCCAAGATATGGCCCAAAATTTAGAGAAATAGGAAAACTTATGAAGTGGATAGATGGTGCAACACATGAAGAAACAGTTTGTGCATTCTTCAATTATGCAGATTTTGCAAAGCTTACAGTTCTGGCCATCTTTAAATGCTGCTAGCATTCAGCTTCGGGACTTACATTATCATTATAAACTCCTTCAGAATAACTGCAACGACTTATGGCTTAACAGGAAAATACTGAAAGTCAGCAATTAATAGAACATTTGTTGCAAAAGTAGAAGAGCTGGCAGCTGCAGTAATCCTCCTTAAACTGACATTAATTCTGAATCTATCACAAAAAAATTCAGTTGTATCACATAGGCACATATTTATGAGAAATTTTCAATGGAACACATTTGCAAAACATTTGATTTAATTCACACCTACCCGCTGCAACCAATGACTTTATTATACAGAAAAGATGGAAGGCCTTTGAGATGGATGTTGTTATCCACATAAACATATTGTAGCTCCCGTGAACGACCTAAATCTGGGTTTAGAAAACAAGAGAAAAAGTAAGGGGGAGAAGGGATGACTGACAATTCTGAGCTAAGTGATTCCTTTTAATTATAAATAAGAAATTAAATTCGATGGCAGCAAACAAGTTAGTATTTCCCAATTAGAAATACTTGAGCAAGTTATTTTAATAATTTTAAATGCTATTTCCAACTAATTTTTTTTTCAAATGATCCATAATAAAGCTCTTTTCCATAGGTCAGAAAATCCCATTTAAAATCTTATTCTGACAAACTCCAACTGAGGTATAAGAAGAAAAGTGACAATCTATTTCAAACCCTACAGTGCATACTTTTGCTTTTTTGTTGTTGTTTCAACTCAGAGGGTGGTGAGGCATTGGAACAGGTTGCACAGAGAGGTCGCAGATGCCCCTCTGGAGGGGCTCAAGGCCAGGCTGGATGGGATCCTGGGCAGGCTGATCTAGAAGAGATTGGCGACCCTGCCCATAGCAGTTGGCACTGGATCATCTCTAATATCCCCTCCAGCCTAAGCAGTTCTGTGATTCTATACTGTATAGGGCCAAATCTCCTTTTCATTAACATTGCACCACTGAAATCACAGCCTTATTATCTGTGAAGTGGTGAAGAAAAAAACCATAAACGTGGTATGTCCCACTCTTTCTTCTCTCCGAGAAACTTGTTTAACTACATTAGCCATAACATAGCAGTGATCATTCAGAAACAAGTCCATGAGATTACAGAACACAGGGAAATACACAAGCATTAAACTGCAGAATATTATACAGCAGAAGTTGTGGTTATAAACAAACAATCAATACATCTGAATATGAGCTGCTTATTATTTCTGTTAAAATATTCATGGCTGGCAGTCAAAAGAAGCAAGCAGGGCATACTTAAGCAATACTTTCATGAACTATAAGTATGTTAATATTTCCAGATATAACCACATAGGTATGGAATAATTTTATTTTTGTTTAGCAAGCTGAAGTGGAAAAACAGAGCAAAAAAAAAATTTAGGTTTCTAGGAATAATTCTCAGAAGGAAGAGTTTTGCTTCAGTAAGATCCAGTCAGCCTGCTATCAAAAGAAGTGAAAAATCAAACAAAGTAAAGGGAATAGCTTTTTTCTAAGAGAGTTTTGAAATGTCAAAGCTGACATGTAGGATCATCTTGGCAGTCCATTTCATCTGTAGCTCCTATGCCATTCAACGCACCAGGTTAGGAAGAGACATGCATTTAACACAGATTAAGAAGGAAACTGTCAAACACTTGAAAGCATCTGTGCTATGGAGGAGATAACTGCAACCCAAACAAACTGCATTATGAAAAGCCATGCGTATATTTCTTGACTTCTTAAACTTTCATGAGCATGTTATAGAAACTAAGCAAGATAAACAAGCCTTGTAGCTGAATCAGCTACATTGAAAGCTTTAGTACTATCGACTAGTTCGAATTTCCCATCTTTGTCAACTGGCAATTACCTTGATTAGCAAAAAATAAAAATGAATATAGCTTCTGCCCCTTTTGAAACAGCAGCCAAGAACAGAAGAAAAATTTAAACCATTTTCATATACAATATCTCTATTCAGCTATTCTGTTTGCAATAGTGATCTTTCATCATCATTCCTTACTGTAATAAGTAATACAAGCCCATTTTTATCACAGAATAGTTTCACTTTTACCTAGAGCTTTGGGTACCACTTTACAGAGAAAAAGCAAATGACATCTGAAACGATCTCCCCAAACATTTGGCCATCTTAAAATACACCTTCAGCTGTCACCCACTTGACTAGCAGCTGTAAGTATCAGAAACCTTAAAGACTTGAGCTGAGGAGCTTCAAAGAGTGCCACATCATCAAATCTTCAGTCTAAGGAAGAAGAACTGATACCCACAGAAAACTAACATGTTCTGTTTCTGAAAATGTTAACAGAAAACTTGACTTCTGTTTCTTTTAATATAGGCTCCTACACTGCACTCTATAGAGGTTTTGCAACAGGTTTCAGGAACCATAACTGGGGCTTTGCTCAAATCAGAATAACTGGACATCAGGGGATGTTTTTACCCATTACATGCTTCTTTGATCCCATCCCAAAGATACTCTAGTTCCAAGAACTATCCCCTGCAGCTGTCAACTGTCCTGCCCTAAGAAAGAAGTACAAATACCTCTGCTGACTGATTAGCACCACTGTGCAATGCTGCTGCACACCATTAAGAGTTAACACCTCAAAAAAGATGGGGTATTTTGACTCAATATGGCAGGGCTGAAAACAGGTCAACATAGTTCTGGGATATTTTTAGATGAAACAAAAACATCACTATCCTACAATGACGAAAAATATTGCAGTACCAAAGAACTAACACCGCAAAGTATTGTAATGGTGGAAAAGAATTGCTCAATAAAATTAAACACAAATAGCACAGGCCACTGAAAGCTGAGGGAGCCTCATGCTGCAGAAACCAATCTGGTGAAGAAGAGCAGAAAACTATAGGTTGCTGGGGCAGCTTGAATGTGATACTGTTTAACTCATTAATTTAGAGAATGGAAGAAAATTTTAAAAGAGGGCTCATCTTGCTCATTTCCACACAGATGTATGCAAATGGGCTGGAAATCAAGCAAGTCAAAAAAAGCCCTAAAGCTGTTCTTTTCATACACATTTAGGGGTGGGGACTTAGGCTGCATCTCATCTCTTCCCTCCGTCTTTATCTTATGCTATGTTTAGATTCTAAGTTCTAAGCTGACTGCATTTCCTAGGTAATTAAAGCAAATTTTTGGACGTTAGACAGAATATCTCAGTAGGAAAAATTCTATTCCCAAAGCCAAATAGCCTTTAACTATAAATGTTCCTTTGATATAGTTTCTTCACATTAAATAACCATGCATTTTCCAGTCCCCAAAAGATGTTTTTTCAAGTCTCAAACACTATCCACAAAGCTTAAATTTAAATAAAACATCACTTTAAAAAGCTCTTTGTATCTCATCCCATCTCCACTAATTTTTATGTCTTCTATCAGTCAACAAATATTGTCAAAAATTCTCTAGAAAACAGTCTGCAAGAACTTGGTAAAATAAGGAAGCTGTCCATCTATGAAAAGGCTAAAGCTACAAAGAAGGTTTTTATGTGGCTTTTGCAAGCACTGTACTGTCTAAAACACTTCCACTTTCCTCCTTCCAGGCTCCCAGATCAAAGACATCTCTCCTAGAAATGACCCAGTGCCATGAGTCCTGAACAAACCCCAATTCTATTTTTTTTCCTTTATTTTTTTTTTTTCTTGTCTTAACCTCAGGGCCCTGGCATATGCATTCCACATGGCTGAAGATGGAACAAAAGTTCTTGTGTGTCTGCACTGATGCTCTTTTAACCATACTGCGAGGGCAAGGACACAAAAGCAGTATATACTGAGGTAGAATAAGACCTTTGTTTACTGTGCACTGATAATTACTAGACCCATTTTCTAAACAAAAAGTGCACATAAACCCCTAATAAAGTGATATAACACTGAGTATTTGCTGTCATAACATCCCCTGAACTGCCAGTATACTTCAGAATTTATGGCCTATTTTAATTATATTTGTACTCTATTACATAAATCAATTTTACTTTTGCAGTGTCATCAGATTGAAATTTCTGCTTGCAGCAGAATTTGTTTTCAGGCATTGCAGCATTTGCTAGCGGTAAAATTTTTGAGTTAACTTTCTATCAAAGTGTAATTTGATTATAAGATTGATACAAAGGGATCAGAAGTGTTATCTGCCATTCCAGAACAGAGTTCCTAAGACCACTTATTGGGACAGTATGAAAGCCAGTGACAAGAAAATAAAAAGCAATTACATAGAGCTGGCCAGAATGCAGTTTCCAGCTCAGCTTACATACCTCTGATTTGGGCATTTTTAGAAATTCATTAGGAAGGCCCAAACATTCAGATCCACACACTTGTTTCTTTGAGCGTAAACCAACACAATGTGGAAAAATAAAAATACCAGCATATCCAAACATCAGATGTATCCTGCACAAGAAGTGACTAATTCAGTATTACTTACCTATCTGCTTGTTTCCCTAATCAGAGTGGTGTAAGCTTTTACTGAATTCAACAAAACTGAAAAATACCAGAATTTTTTTCTTAAGATGCACGTGCCCTCAAGCTCATTTGCAACTATCACCACCTCAAAGAATGCACAGGGCAAAATCCTACACAGGACCTATCCAGCAGTGCACAGTGCTACTGCCAGAATCCACCTGACACTATCAGTCTAGGAACAGGAAAATGCCAGCTTGCACTACGCCTAACAAGAGCCACACAGGCAGCAACAAGGGACACATTTAGCTGGGGAAGAATGGGTACCTTGCCACATTTGATGCCAACCACCATATGAAATAAAGTAAATCACACTTGAAAAAGTTTTAAGCAACACGTTCCAAGCATGAACATTTCTTCTACCACAGATGTGCCTCTTAAAAAAGCAAAAAAAAAAAACATTCTTTGGAAGTGTGTAAGATGGCTGCCTTCCTACTCAACTCCCTCACAGAAAAACAACTGTAAGACAATTACTGCTCAAATATCACTTTTCTTTTTTTCTGCAGTATCTTTCACTGTTGTTAATCCTCCCTGGCCATGGGCGCTATTAATGGAGAAGTTAGATATAAATATACAAAAAGTTAGCCAGCATGTGCAGCTAGCAGTAATATGCTATAATTATAGCTTAACTTCAGTAATACTCTAACATTCCACGTAGTCCAGCACACCAAGGAAAACATTTTCTCATACAGCAGAAAATAAATTTAATTTTGCTTTTCAATGCACTCTATTTAATGCCATCACATCTCGACCACTCTGAAGCCTTCTGATTCTTCACCAAGGATTAAACATTTACGTTTATGCTGGGCTGCTTTTCCTCTGAACTCTAGGATTTATGATTCAGTTTCATATTCACAGATAGCAAATTATCTCCAAATGTTCACCAGTGAGTCACTATTAAGAACTACTGAACAAGGTCAATTGACAGTCTTTGATGTTTTCCATTATTTTAAAAGTTCCCTCAGAATGTTTTGAATTTGAGTCTAAAAATAAAGAAAAAAGGTGTATCATTATATTACAGATTTATTTCCTCCTTTTGAACTTAAAACACGTGAGTAGATCTGTGGCTCATGCAGGTCATAGCTCACTTACAGATAAGCTACCAGAGGAGAGGCAGAGAAAACTTCCACCCTTAAATATTTCACATCTTCTCTTACTGATCATCATCTTATTTTTGAAAAATTAAGAATATTCCACTTCTCTCTCATGAAATGGAGTTGGGAATATTTGCCAAACTGAGGCTTGCTACTTTGCTTGTTTCAGATGGTACTGTGAAATCTGGATGATGCATCCTGGAACTCATTTTCTCATTTATATAATGACATATGTTGGGACATAACTGAAACACCATGTCTGGAGACATTATTTGCACTTGTCAGTAATATGAACTAAGGTGTTAAAAAAATAATCAGACTCTCAGCTGCTTTAAAGGCTGAATTGCTAGTATTGAAAAAATTAAGTTAAACCCACAGTTTCATTAATTTAGAAATAAAAACATCCCATTTTTAGTCACCTTCATTTTCATCTTTTTTTCAATTTTATTATCGTCACTTCATCTGCACCTAATTAACCAACCTCTAAGAGTATTCTAGAAAAAAACTACTAATGGCTATTCAGCTGGCACAGTAAATCTGCATGCACATCTGTATTTCAGCAGAGATTAGCTTACTGACACATGGAAGATGTCTCGCTTTTCATGGACAAAATATGCAGTCCACCCTTCCTGCAGTCACAATGACTTCCCACAACAAAAAACCACTTGGTCACCACACCTCCTGCTCATGAAGACCTGCCTCTACACTTCCAAACTTAGAAAGGCTTGAGGAAAAAGCAGATGAAGTTTTTCTTGTGCATCTGCTGTGAAAGTTTTGATGGATGCCTGTACACCACACAAACTAAATCTTAGCTAGACTATTCAGTACTGACATTCCTAGCAATGAAAAAAATCACTTATATGGATTTACTGGGACTCCTCAGCACGTTTCCTACCCTAGCTGAAGAATCTTACTTAAACACCAGATCCAGCAAACAGAAGCAGGTCACTACCTAAAGTGGTGGAACTCAGATTACTCAGTACTATATTTAAACAAGACATCATTTAAACTTTTTCCCCCATTAGCTAAAAAAAAAAAAAAGCAGATTTGATAGATGACCCATGGCTCTAAAGCAAATATGAAACCTCAACCTGTATTTTTTTCATTTATTAATATATTTTCCAACAATTTGATCACTGTAGGTACTCCATAAACAGAGTTTGAAGGGATCAGAATGGATGAAAAATCACCTGTTGCTTTTATTTTTCTTTTTTTTTTTTTCTTTTTTGAGGAGAAAGAAGAGGAGGAAGCAAATTTGTTTCCCCATCTATTCTCTGACCCACCCCCAGCCCAGTGAAAGCAGTGACTCACCAAGAGGCAGAAATGCAAGGCGGTTCCCAGCCATGGAGAGCTCATTGAGGCTTGGAAGCTGGCACAGATGGCGGGGAACATACCACAGGTGGTTCCGGTCTGCAGTCAAGTACTGCAGCGAGAGGCACATATGCAGCCTTTCAGGTAAGGTTATCAAGCGGTTGGTTGAAATATCCAGTGTTTGCAGCTCCCTCAGATCTCCAACCTCTACAATTCAAAGTGTTGAGATATGTCAATGTAATTGTTTTCATAAGCAAGACCAGAAAAATGCTCACTTAAATCAAAAACAAAGGTCAGCTGTTTGCTGTCCTGTTTTTCCCCAGAAAATACAGGTCTAAGAATGTGTTCAGAAACAATACTAATTATCCCTATCACCACAGTCTTTCAGATCTTCCTGATAAGCAACAGCATGCTCATATGAGCTCTCTCAATACAGTGCATTCCTAAACTGTTGATCAAGCAGTACCTGGGTCAAAATCAGAACAAGCCAAAATATAATTAAAAAAATATAAGTTCTGTTACATAACTTGCAGTTACCAAGGGAATTTCGCATGACCCCGGATTCATGCAAGCTCAAATTAATATTACATAATTTTAACATTTGAGGATGCAACTTTGGTATCAACCTTAAGTTGTTATATTGCAAAATATTACAGTAAACTACAAATGATAATTGCAATAACTACAGTTTCTAGAAGTTCTTCTCTTAGCATTTTAACAATCTGGTTAATATCTTCAGGAGAAGTAGTCTACTTTGCATTTTATATAACACTGTGGACTTCTACTGCAGATAACAAATGAAGATTTTCCAAGTCAGCAAGATGCAATCAACCAAGTGGCCTTACTCGTGCACCACAGTCATTTCCTTGCCTCTGGCCTTTGGACCAGGGTGTCCTTCTTCAAGGACAGACTGAGCAATATGTTAAGCAGCTCTATTGGAGTGCTAATTGATCAGGTACTGACTCCTTTACAGTTACTCTATAAATTCTATCCACTGTTGTCCCTAAACATGGAGAAACTTGTGCTTTCTTTGTGAACACAGCAATGGAACTAACTCACTGAGCTCTCAGAGTTTTCATGATAATTCACAGCAGAATCAAATTTTCTTTACTTTCAGCTGAATGAAATCAGTTCTCACATCTGGTAACTTCTAAACAAGGTTCACCAGAATTTTCTAGACTGGAAACAGCAAGCAACCTACACAACCCACAGTCAAAACAACCCGCATGATTTACAGACCTACCACTGGTTGTTTGTTGGGTTTTTTTAGAGAAAATAAATAGGACGATACTGTTAAAGCTCAGGAGAATCTGCTGTGCCCTTTAGCTCCCTCTGCAGCAGGAGCTAGAAAATCCGCTATTCCCTGAGCATCTTGTATGCTACATACCAAGAAATAAACAAAACACTGGGTTAATTTCAAGCTGTCTGCTCTGCAATGGGAGAAACAGCAAGTCTGAAGTTGACCTTGGGAAAAAACTGCTAAAGTTTTACTTTTAAGACTAGAAACATGACAAGAAAAAAAAAAAGGTAAATATAATGCAATTATTAGCAATTCTCAGAAAAACAGTAATTAACGTTTGTGCGTGCACTTACAAAGAGCTGTTGTCTGCTGCAAAAAAAACCTACATTAACTACAATAAAGAATCAACAACAAAGTACATGAATACTCTCATAAGAAAACTGACAAACTGCAGCTATACACAGCTACCATTTTTCAAACCTCTCACAGTTTCAATTTTAACAGCAACCGTAAGCTTTCTTAAAGTTTTTGTGTGTTTGCTTTACTATAAGACTGAATAGCAAAAGCAAAGTGACATCTAAATAGCAAAAGACTACTATGCTAGAGAACTACAGTAGGGCAGTCTAATTTTTAAAGAGTTTTATATTCATCTCAAAAAAAAAAAAAGACATGCTTTAAAATAGTGACAGGAAGAGAGCCACCTACATTCAGCCAAACCACTGACCACATGCAGTCAATAATAGGCCTAGCTATTTTCATACACTAACCTTTTTCTCCACCACTAAAAACAGTTTTCTAATTCAGTTTTGGTCCAAAATCCCATAAATGTTACGGATGGCAAAACTGGCAGAATTTCAAAGGCATTGCTGGAATGATATGTTTCAAATCTAAGAGGAAATAAAAGTATTCTCACTTTATCCTTCATCCAAAAAACACATACTTGTCCAAAACTTCATCCTCTCTACCTTAATCTTCCAATGCATACCAGATGTAAACATCCACTTTCAACCTATAGTGCCATATGTTACAGAAACACTCACCAACCCACGATGAAGTTAAGAAGTAAACCAAACCATTTCACAGAATCACAGAATCACTAAGGTTGGAAAAGACCTATAAGATCATCCAGTCCAACCATCCACCTATCACCAATGGTTCTCGCTAAACCATATCCCTCAACACAACATCCAAACGTTCCTTGAACACCTCCAGGGAAGGGGATTCCACCACCTCCCTGGGCAGCCCATTCCAGTGCCTGACCACCCTTTCAGAGAAGTAGTGTTTCCTAATATCCAGCCTGAATTTAAAGTACCATCAGACAAAACTCCCAGACTCCCCACCATAGCACTGAACGCTCATGCTGAAGAACACACTCAGACATTTACTAATGACAATTTGGTTTCAATCCAAAGCAAAGGAAAACAATGAAGAATAATAACACAAAATATAAACAGTCCATTAATAAGTTTTTCAAGCTTTTAGTTACTATTGCCCACACTTTAAAAAAAAACACCACAACACTAAAAGGTATTTTATCTGACAAGACTGAAAGGCTTACAAACCTCTCTTGCCATCACCTTATCAAGCGCTACAACATTTATGATGGGGAGACTTTGGAAATTTTAGGCAGATTCAGAAAACAGCTATTCCTAAACAAAAAGAGCCAACAGGGAAGGGACTTAACTGGGTGATAAGATTTTTTTACTGGTTAAGAAATGGACAAATAACACATCACCATTACACCACATTGAGGAGTTCTGATTACATTTAAATGGAACTCAAATGTGTAAATTTGAATTTATATTAGCTCTAGTATTAAGTTTAAGGCTATTAAAATCAACAAGGCAGCGCTCTGAGCCCTGTTCTGACATCAGGAGCTCAAAGAAATCCCCAGCAGCTCTTTTGAACTCCTAACTGAGGACTTCTCAGACTGGTGAAGGCAAACCAAGACCCAGCACCAAGTTCTTGTGCTGATTCTTGGATCCGAGTACTTCAGCTGTGTCCATCTGCACAGATTAATGCCTTCACATAGTGTTGGGCAATTCTGTGGCTTAGCCATATGGTACAAACATGCTCATGGGGTGCTGTGCACCAAGTAGCTGACAGCCTGTAAATTCACATACTGCCTTACCTCACAGGAACTTATACATAGGCTTATAGCCAAAGTCCTGCCTACAGCCTTCTGAACGTGATTTCAATGACACCGATGTACATATGAATATTTCAGACTATCCTAAAACTGCCAGCACTCCAGTAATTAATTCAGCCTTTTCATCCTTATAATGTGGAGACTCAGAAGTGATAACTGCAGCCCCAAAAAGCAGGCTTTGCAGTCATCGCAATAGCTTTCCCAGCCATTTGGAGAAAGGGATAACTATACTTACTGGCTTCTAACACATGCATTTTCAAAAGAAAAGCTACTTAATAAGTTTGTCGCTCAGCACAGGGAGAGAAAAGAAATACCAGTATACTTTCTCCAAAAAATAAGTAAATCTTTCAAAGATTTTCAGAAAATTTCCAAAAATCACTGAACTTCTATCAAAAGGCTCAGTATTTGTATTAACATATCCAAAAAAAGGGGGAAAAAACTGGCTCAGGTGGTCTAAATGCCAATTTTTAAAACCAATTCCCCTGGTTTAATCCAAAGAAGAGCCCATCTGTAAGTAACCAGCCTATGCAGCACAAGTGCTGCCAAAGGCAGTTCAGACCTGAGCCTTCTGTCTTGAAATCTGAAGAGCAATCCTACCTCTTGTCTGATGGGTCACACCACAAAATTTCATTCAAAGATAAACAAAACACAAACAATTGAGTTTCAGTGAACAGAAGGCACAGATTTACTTGAAATCAAATGCTTTCTGAGTCTTTCAATCCAAGTAAAGATAAAAAGAGGACAGGAAAGGGCTACAGACCTACCTGCATGAGTATGCACCTCAAAGCAGGATGCTAAGAGAAAGCAGAGAACCTACAAGGAATGGAAAAAGGGACTTATCAGCAAGGAGCTGTCACTTAGAGGTCAGACTGTAGAAATGAAATTAAAACTGCCAGGAGGCCAGGAAAATGGGAACTCACAGAGAAAATTAAAAACAAACAAAAGGTTTCTCAATAGGAAAGAGCAAGAAACTGAGAACTGGTGTCAATAAGGGGTAGAAACCAGGAAGACAATCCAAATATTAAATTAGCTTTTTGCATCACATTTTTTCCTGTAAGAATAATGCTGCATATGAGGACAAAGACAGAATACCTCACGGGAAAGAGGACAAAGCACTGAAAATTACCACATTCATTGCTAAAATGAATGAAGCTACTTAGAAAATTTCCATCACAGAACACTGCAAAAAAATGAGCTACATCAGAACTGCAAGCTCAGGATCAGGGACTCTCCATGAATAAGACATTTCCTTGGACAGTAGCCTAAGTCTGGACACCAAACATAGTGCCTGTGTTAACCTAAGTTAACGTGACTTCGTGCTCTTTATTATCTTACATTAAGGGGAAGGAGCAACCAGGAATAACCAGTGACTGCAAGACAAGAAGAATGAAAATGCAACCTTGATAATTTCAAATGTAAATCAAGTTATACTGGCTTATCTTTCTCTGATGAAATTCCTTAGTTAACACATGGGTGTCATATCTCACAGCAAACAATTGGCATGGAACAATATTACCACTGGTGATATTCCTTGAGGGCTTACTTTGTTTAGAACTTCTATTTTCTGCCATGGTAAAAATAATTGTTAGGTTTTGCTTTGGTGACGACATAAGCATTTCAAATATTACTAACATGACTGAGAATCCAATTACTATATAGAAAGAAAAGCAAGAACATTTAGACTTCAGCGACTGAAATGGAATGAAGAATATCTGCTTGAAATAATGGCAGAAGAGAGGGACTGGTTATGCTGGTTCACGGGTTACAAGTCAGCACTGAAAATAACTAATGCAATTTCTTGATCTAGCCAAATCATCA